TATGCCATAAAAGGGACTATGGCATCATGGAGTGAGAAGGGAGACATCTGGGTTTTGTTCCAGGATGTGACAAAGATGCTTGGAAGCTCTCGGGAGTTTCTGGCTTCCCAGGGCAGCCACCTCTAGAAAAATATGTCTCCTGACACGTGGATAGCCTCAATTGTAATTCTCCTTTCCTTCACCAGAATCATCATCCTCTCAACCTGCGGAGGGCATCCTGTCCTCTTCTCCCGGGTACCCCCTGTGGTTATAGTTTATTGCTTCCCTAAACTGACTGGGTCCTGAGCATTTGCTACATAAATGAGTTTTCCTCCAGAATAATGAGATAAGTTTTAGCTGGCTCCAGATAACCTCATGACGAGGATTAGCTGCCAACAAGCAAACGCTGGTCAAGAGCTTGGGACTTTTAGCCCTACTTTAACGCTCAGGGAGAGCGAGCAGCTGCAGAGGGAATTACTAACTGTTGATTGCTGATCTATTAAGTCATACTGATGTAAGAAATATCTGTTAAACAAAACTTGGGCAACAGGGCTCGTGGGATTGCAGGCAGATGCACACCTGGAAGATACAAGCAGGCTTCTTCCTCAGTTTTCTGTCCGCCTCCCATCTCCTCCACGTGTTCCTCATAGCAAATAAAGCGTTTCCCCACGTTAACTTAGCATTACCCCATGTTCTTTAGTTTGAACAAATCGCTGAAAAGGCAAGCCGGCTGAGGGGAGGGGTTTGGACCTATCTGGAGCTACTGCGTCAGGAGCAGCTGGCTTCTGAAAGGGGGCTAGTCCTAGAGGTGTGACTGCTCACCCTGGGGTTTATGTTGACTTGGGGAGTTGGTGTCGGAGTTGAGGTGATCTGTTTGACAGCTGGTTGTTGTCAGAGAACTGACTGTTCGAACACAAAACCTTCTGGGTTGCTCGTTTGTCTTCTCCTCTTTCACGCACATTGCCTACTGTGGGGAAGGTGGATGCCACGTTCTGAAGACACTTGAGTAGCCTATGTGGAATTGAGTAACCTATGAGGAATTGAGCTGCTGTTAAAACCTTCATGGTGTGGGACTGTGGAGAGTCTTCTGCCCAGTTCCAGCAGGCACCAGGTTCCCAAGGACACTTGATTTGCTCCCTGAGGCTGCCGAGCCCTGCAACTCAATTGCTGACCTTCAGAAACAATGTATTTCTGTCCTGCTTATTTACTTACTCAATGTTAGGGTAAGGTTATACAGTAGTACAATATCTACCCTGCACTGAAGATCAGACACAGGGCCTTGGCAACACTAGGCAAATATTCAAGCTATTCTTCCAGCCAATGTTACCTTCCAGCATGATAAAGACCCTATCCTCAGATCTACCTAGCTCTTTCTAAAATTAGATTTTTAGAAAAGAAGTGAAGGCCACACCCTCTGAACTGGAGAGAAACCAAACACACTGTAAATGTATGTTGCGTATTAACAAAATTCCAAATATTCAATAGTGCATTCAGTCTCATCCTGTGCCAAGTGCCAGAGTTCCCTGGGCAATCATCTCCTTTCTTTAACTGGAGATATCACCCTATCTCTGCTTAGTTCTCTTTAATGGAGGAGAAGGCAGGTGCCCACTTCTGCCTCCAAGAAGAAGCTGCAGACTTTCCAGGCTCTGTTTTTGCATAGGATTATCTGACCGGATAGGTTCCAGACTCCTTCTAGGAAGTACATTCTGCAGCAGCAACTGAAGTGAAACTTCTGCGCGTGAAGTTGATAACTACAGAGGTGTAGGAAATGCCCCCTCCCTCTTTAAAGCAAAAATAGCTTGCTCTCTGATTTTTATCCTATTAGATAGATAAGACACTCAATCTTTGTTTTCATCGAGGTGTCTCTCCTCCCTCTTTAATGTACCTCTCACTGAGTTTCTTCTCCCCCCTCCCCCCAACTTCCAGGGTCAGGGTTATAGTCTTAGATGTTACCACAGCATCAGGACACACATTGGGAAAGCAGGGCTAAGGGTGGAGCTAATTGGTAGAGTACTTGTCTAGTCAGGAGAGGGCTGGAGAAACGGTTCCATGGTTAACAGTATCACTGCTCTTGAGGGGCTGGGAGGTAGATTTCTAGCACCCTTGTCAGGTGACTCACAACTACCTGTCACTCCATCACCAGGTGATTCAACACCCTCTTCTAGCCTCCTTGGGCATCCACAGGCACACAGCACACACACACACACACACACACACACACACACACACTAAAAACAAGTCTTTTTTAAAAAAGTTAGAAGAAACAGAAAAGATAAAAGCAACTTAGCTATGATGATAACTTCAATTGTCAACTCGATGAGACTGAGACAGAGCCAGGAGGTCATTTAAAGCACAATTCAGTGCAAAAATGACAGGGTTTCCTGGGAGGACCGACTAAGACGACATCATTCCACAGGCTGAGAGCTCAGGACGAATAATGTCGGAAAAGGAGAACCTCTCTCTCTCTCTCTCTCTCTTTCTCTCTCTCTCTCTCTCTCTTCTGGGCACCTTGATGTGAACTGTCATGCTCTGATGATCTAAAACCCTGAGACTGAAATGACCCTTTTTTTCTCTTAAGTTGTCTCTCTTGGGTATTTGCTACAACAACAGAGGGTCGAATAAGGATGGTGGAGCAGCCCTCAGGAATCCCAGACACTCCTCAGAAACACTCGGAGAAGCAGAAATTATAATGCAGAGAACAAAAAGCACGTTAAGAAACATCACTGAGGCCGCAAGGAGAGTCAGTAGGAGGGGAGGCCAGAGGGAGGGTGCTCAACAGCACACAGGCCCTCTCCTTAGACCCGAGAAGTAGTTGACCATTAAATGCAAAACTTAAAAGTCTGCAATTATTGATTTCTTCTCCTTCACCTACTTTCTCAGTAGTCTCTATTTTCGTGGGCAACAGTATCAAAGCATGAAAATTCTTCAGCACCACAATCACACCCTCATCTGAAATCCTAGAGTTAGTCAGAAGGCCAGTGCTGCTTCTGCTTCCCCAGAGCCGGTTACCCTGTTCAACTGGATTGGTGGTGACCGCTGTAATCGCCTTCCATGAGATTGTGTGCCATGGAACTGGGCTTCCTTCATCAGTGTGAGCTGCCCTTGTGGGATACATACAGAAGCTGACACTAGTTAGTTCCTGAGGGGATGACACAGCTTCCTCATCCTGTTGGCTGTTGCCAAAGATTGTAAAATACCTATAGGAAGCCAAGAAATTAGTCCTTGGAAGCCGGTCATGTGACTGTCTAGCAGCCCTGTTTAGGGAAATGGCTGCAGTCTAGGCCCCAATTATTATTTAAATAAAAACCTTTTTTTAAAAAAAGTATTCAATGAAGTTTAGCAATAGGAACCCTACCGTTTTCTCCCTGTTTCATTGGTATTTATTGCTAGAAACTCTGACTGCCTCTCAGAGACATTTTACTATTTATCTGTAGCGCTGATTAGGCCTTGCTGTGCAGCCCAGACTAAGGCCTCGCTTCCAGGTTCTGGGATCTATGCAAAAGATGGGGTGGAAACAGAGGTGATGAAAGATTTTAAAGAAACAATATTTTCTAGACAGAGCAGGGCTGATATACATGTGAACTCAGGGAGACTGTGACAGCACGCACAGGGCCTCTTATAAGCTCAAGCCAGACAGAGTCCCAGCATGAAGGAGGGGATGGGGGAACAGAGTCCCACCCCTTCCTGAGAAGCTATTCACAAACAGTACCTGCTAGAAATGAAAAATCCGTTTTTTTTTTTCCAGTGACCCTGGGTGTATCCATCCCATTCTAGGGCCGGCCATGGCCAGGAGTAGCTGGCCAGCTCAAGTTTGACATTTCAAATTTTTGTTATTGTTGTTGTTGTTGTTGTTGTTGTTGTGTGTGTGTTTCATTCTTCCTTTTTTAAATTTTGTTTTTAAAGGGGGAGAAGGATGGATAGGAAGGACTTGAGAGGAGTTGGGGGATGGGAAAGGCTATGAGAAAATGTACTGCATGACATTTCAAAGAATACAAAAGTGGTTAAAAAAAACGACGTGAGTCTAAGCAGGTGCTAGCATACCTAGCATAAAAGATATCTTTAAATAGCACCAGTATCTAGTAAAGCTTAACCCCCCCCACCCGTGATCTGAAAACTTAACAGTTTCTAAAAGTAACATGGCGCATAGCAGAAGATGTTAAAAATACTAGTCTCTATGTGTAGACGGAGCCGTAATTAATACCTAGGAAGCCAGATGCTCTACGGCAAAGATGCCTCTATTTTCCAATTAACACATGGAGAGCTTTAAATCTTTCAATTGGAAGCCCAGCCTCCACACAAGACACGGCGGCCAAATGTACTGCAAACACACGTAGCTTCAGAGAAACGCCGAGCCCTGGAAACACACCCCATCTTATTAGCTTCAGCACCGATCTCATTATGAACAGAGTTGCTTACACTTCTTCCTTCTGACAAGCATTCAACAGCACTTGGATGTGTGCCCTTTTGAAAAAGCGATTCCTGCCTTCCCAAACCAGATGGTGAACATCCTCTAGACCCTAACGGAATCAAAAGGGGTTCCTATTGTGTGCTATAATATAATTGCTACATCCGCAAGAGCATGTTCTTATGGAGACTTCTGGGAGTTAAACAACTTGGCTAATGTGGTCCCACAGAGTGGGACAGGAGGCCACATGCCGCTGAGGAGTCAGGCTATGTGGAGGGGCTTCTGCTTCTTTAATTCTTCCAAAATAGGCTTCAGTGGAGGTGTGGGGCCCTGCCTCATGGGCTCACAAAGAAGCTGTCTTCTGTCTTTGACTATCAGAGACAAAAAGTCTGCTATCTCATAAAGGAGGTAATCAAGCAAGAAAACCTCCCTCGCCCTCCCTTCCTCTGCCCCTTTCTCTGTCTTCTGGTCGGATCCAGCCAGATTATATGTGTAGGATATTCTAATCACCACCATCAACAGCAGAACCAACACCCACTTGTGACTACCATTTGAGTACCACACTCACCACAGAGAGAAACACGCATCCAAAGGCAACTACATCATTCTGCAATTAGCCAACAAATTGGAGAATAGTATACTGTCTCCTACCTTGGAGATTATTCTGTCTTGGCAAAACCTAAAAGGAGAAAAGACAAATGCATTAGTGTTTTTGTTGCTTCTGATCTTTGAAACCACAGAACTGAATTAAACAAATAGTCTCTCCAATAGTTTAGCGAAATGATTACTTCTTCTACTTAATTTAACCATTGGTTAGGGATACGTTTGGGGTGAAGGGGAGCCATTCACCAAGAGACTGAGTAAATCTCATTGCAGTCTAGGCTCTGGAGGTGTGAAACAGCATTTTGAGGCAAAACAAAAGCCTTTGACAACTTGGAGATTGCCTGTCAAGTGTGTCTTAGACATCCTATGATTCCTCACAGGTCAGAGAGAACAATTCCTTTGTGGTAAGACCCTGTTCATGAAATGTAGCATCTCATTCTCTATAAAGTTGTCTAGGTTAGCTGTCAGGCTAGGTTGGTCACATGACAGCAGAATGGACTCAGACAGGTCGTGTCCTGTGACCTGCACCACCCTGTAGGCCTACGTCTGAAAAAGCAGAAAGAAGAGTTTTTGAATAGTTGGGTGCCAAGCTTCTGCTGAGCTCAGTGTTCAGTTCAGCCGAACATTATGTCCTCTCCCCAGTTTGCTTTTTGGAAGCTTTTCTTTTACATCCTAAATACGTGTGTGTTTCAACTTGGACTGGAAAGATTTAATTAAAAACAATTCCATCACCGCCGCAGGAGCCTATGCTTGTACAGCTCTCGGCGACCGGACACTTTTCCCTTCCTAAAACCTAAGACGGTTTCTCATTTTTTGGTATTGTGCCAATTAGAAAAGAAGTGTGTTGAGCAAACAGCTAAGAAATCCATCAAAAGGTAAGGGTTCTTTTTATTTGAGCGCTCTTTCCTAATGGGTGGGAATTGATTGATTAGCTCACCTAGAACAGGGTTAGCCTCAGGCAGAAACAGCTTTGTAGACCTTAGTGGACTGGATTTAAAAACCAAAAAAGTAGAAAATCAACATTAGGAATTCAATGGACTTCAAAAGCAGAGGAAAACGCAGTCTGAAAGTATATTAAAATCCTTTCACTTATTTCCAATCAAATGGCCTCATAATAAATTATAGTGCTGTCCTAAGACTCCGTCTTAGCTGGAAATGTGCTCAGGCTACGATCTCTAAATTCAGCTTACACTGAAAATTTCCAAACTTCCTACCCCATTTAATTTAAAAGTTTTTATGTCAAATGCGTCGCCTTATGGACAGCTCCCCTTCCCGTGCCCCTCTGCTCTGCCAACAACACACACATTGGCTTTGAGACTACTTTCAAAAAGAAGTTTGTCTAAGTAGAAAATTCGCCTTTCAGAAAAGACAAGGGGCAGAAGAAAGCATCCGGTAATCCCCTGCCTCTGGCTGGAATCAAGGGAAAAAACCTTCTTGAAGGCCAACAGTGTCAGCTGTTGCTACACTAATCTTGTCTCTCACCCACTTTGCTATTCAGTGTTTGGTGTCTACAAGTACTGTGCTCCTAGCACAAAGGGGAAGGTTTTAGAGAGAGTAACATTTAAATTTCAATGTGTATGAACATCGACTGGGGTGCTTGTGAAAATGCACATTCCTGGGCCTAGCCCAGCTGCAGGAAACCAGGCAGGGGCATTTCCAGTGTGTTCTATGGAACTGGAGTCTGGAGATCACAAGTTGAGAAGCCCTAACTGTTGCATGTGAAATGTTGTAGCATGTAAGCTAAGTGTCAAGCGTTGGGTAGGAAGGGTTTGCAGTGGATATTCTAGGTGGGTGCATTGGTGCACGCCTGTAACCCCAAAGCATGGGAGGCTGAGAAAGCAGGGTTACTAATCTGAAACTAGTATGACTACATAGCAAGTTATGGGCCATCTTGAGCTATATGATGAGATCCTGTCTCAGGAGGTAAGGACATGTTACTTTCCCACGGAAGAGAATATACTCAGTAAATATACTTGAAGGAAGCAGTATTCAGTAAACACAGTCCTTTCCTACTTACAGATCCCTGCCCCTGCCTTTGTGATTTCTATATATCTGACCTACCGTAAGCACTATCTTCCTTAATCTACAAATATACAAATTACCAAAAAAGGGAGAAAGCCTCGGTGATGCAGCCTAATTAACGTGGTGTCCATTCATAGTTTAATTCTATGTAAGCCGTAGAACTCTTGAAATTCATGGCTGGAATGACTTAGAAGAAAAGCATCCTACTCTTTTTGAAGACTCTTTCGATTAAAGAGGTGAAAAATGGGAGGGGGTAAATATAAAGGCTTAATGAGAAAGCTTAGCCATAAGCTTGAATAAATCCCAGGTGTCTGCCTACACCTTCTCCCTTCTGGTTTAGATGGAAATATCCACAAAGAGCTATGAAGTAAATAAAATTAATCATAATCAATCATGAACTGTCGGAATTTGCCTAGAACCAAAATTCTGAAGTGGACACATGGCACCCTTCTGCTTGCTCTAATTCTCCGCCAGTTCACAAACTATTGTGTTGCTTGGTTCAGCACAAGCCTTCCAACCTCCAATTACAAGTGATACTGTTAAAAAAAAAAACCATCGGAATGTTCAAATACATGCCACCAATCCTGGCATTAAAAACATTCTTTTCCAGCTCACATACTGCACAAAAGATAATGAACACATCATTACTCTCTATGTATCAGTCTCAAGAGCTCCCTTTCTTCGTTTGGATATGTTAACTTTGGACTTACTAAGTATTTACTAGGAGATCGTGATTAAACTAAAATAAGGGACTGTATACTGATGTCAACTTTTAATGGCAGGCATACATAAAAACATATGAAAAATTACCGTGTTCGCGCCACCATTATTTTACTGAAATGGAAAGATTTGATGATAAGACACAGGAAGGAACTAATTCAAACGCGGCACTGTCCCTGTGTGTTCTGTTGTGTGGTCACAGTTACTCGGTCACTGTGTTAATTAATGCTCTGTGGCTGCTACTAAGTGTGGCAGGCAACCTAAGGGAGCAAGGGCTTGCTTGGCTGTTCCAGAGGTCTCATGGCACTGTGGTGAGAGGAGTTCAGTCCCTTAGGCAGTGAGGGCAAGAGCCTGTCATGTAGAACACATCACCTTTCCCCTGAATGGATGAATGACCCAAATGGGCCAGGGGAGCCTGTGTAGGACCTGTGGACAGCTCACTAGCTCCACCTGAGAGGTGCTCACAAAGGACCAGCCGTACGAAAGATGACGTCAGTCGCCATCAACTTTCCATCCTGAGATAAATGAGAGCCCTTGGGCAGGGTGCAGCAGAGGTTTTCTCCCCTAGAGCCCTCCCCACTCTTGGCAGTTCCTTTCCACGGTTCCCTAATAAAACCATTTGCTCCACACACTGACTGCCTGCATTTGCTTATTCTTCAATGCACAAGATATTTAGTGAGATCCTTCATCTCCCTTCCCACCTCTCCTCCCCCGTCCCACCCCTCTCTTAGGTGCACGTGGACACGTGGCAGTGAACAGGGAAGTCACTGACTCAGCGTGGGGGTGGTGACTTTGGTGGCTGTTGTTTATCCAGAGCCCTAGCCAGGAGAGGAGGAGACATTCTCGAACAACCAGCATCTGGTGGGGAGGAATGGCAGCCAGGCTTCCACACATCCTGCTGGGCAGTAAACAGAGTGGGGGTAGTTAGCAAAGGCAGACCAGGGCAAGTTACAGCGCCATCCCGAAGGATGTGCTTCAGTGACTTCCTTCTTCCACGGAGACCATGAAGTTCTAGCACCTCTCTACAGTCTATTCATCCATCAGGGGACCTATTCCGGATACGGTCAGAAGCCTCCATATCTCACGGTCTTTAGAAATGTTCTTAAAGTCCACTGAGAGACCTGATTTCCTGATCAAGCCATTTCCCAGGCCAATCAAACTGACAGGCCCTTACCCATCTCAGGCCCTGAGCAACACTCTTGTCTGCATTAATCTTTGGGACACCGCTGTAGCTTTCTTCCACGTTCTCTTTGCTCCGGAGACGTGTGCCAGAGTGGACGTGGTCTTCAACAGGGAAGCCTCACCACCCAGCTGCCCCAGAGCAAACCAGGCCATCTACTTCTTCTCTCTTCATCTGTTAGCACCTGGCAACCGCTGTCCTCAGGTGCTCCTCAGCTGCTTTCAACCGGTCGTCCGCTGGATCCCAGTCACAGCACACAGTTCCCAGAAGCACAGGTCTCCAGGCCGTTGTCTTGCTGGTGGTGCCTGTATCCCTTACATACAAGCCCACACATGACCTCGGGTCTATTTCTTTCAGTCTTCTTTTCAGCTGATAAACACCTGTTCATTCTCTAAAACCTCACATCACACCACTTCTGTGAGGCTGGGCTCAGTTTCTGCAGACACAGTTATTCCCTTATTTGTGCTTCGGTGTAGTTCTTCCTGCCCATTCCAGAATCCTCATCTAAGTGTATTAGCGTGACCTGTGTTTAAACCTGCTTCTCCCTACTTAGACAAGGGGGGGGGGGTCTTGGAAGCAAGCCTTCTTACTTATGTAATGACTATCAAATATCTACCTCGTGCTGTGGGATTTTATATTCTGAAATGCTGGATGGAGAATAAGGTGCATATTTGATGGGTACCCAATAAATTCCATGTCAGGGCAGTAGTGAACAAGTACCTCGCGCATCCTCTCTAGGATGCCCCAGTTGTTAGGAACCACCTATTCGCTGTGCAGCTGCGGGGAGGAGCAGGTACTCAGTTGCTAGCATAATGGGTCTGTTAATTTCAGGAAGGGGGAGTTATTTTCAGATGGAGGACTGGGTTTTATGAACAAATGGGAACACTGGAGGGGGGAACATGGGGACCAAGGCTAAAGCTGTAAGTTCACGCTCTCAAAGCAAGGAATGCATTTATATCTAGTAAAACTGGGCAAAATAAGTCCTACACTAGCGTGTGCTTTAAAGACAAATGAATAGCATCCTCCGGAGTCTGTAAGCCTCAGTGACACCCAGGCTGCTAAACGGGTGATGGGAATTATGTTGTCTCTGTTGATGAATGAAGCTCCCTCAGGCATAGTCAACAGCGGTGCCGCTTCACCCTGAGCTTTTCGCC